CATGAACCTGACTGAACCAAAACTTTAAGTTCAGGTTCAGTTCAGGTTCATAAATTCAAAGTTCAGTTCAGGTTCAGATTCAATGATCTGCAAAATTTGAAGTTCAGGTTCAGGTTCAGATTCATTGAACCTGAACCTAAACTGAACTGAACCTAGGAACCCTAGCGTATATATTGTATTGTTATAAAATAACAGGTATGATAATGTTTTAAAATAATATACAAGTAGCATTATTAAGATAAGACAACTTAAAATCTTAAATAATTAATATCTTAAGATGGTTTCTTCGTTTGGAATATATAAAACTCATAGAAGAAAATAATTTTTCTACAGAAGCTGAGTTTATACAAATTGAAAATATTCTTTGTGCAACTAAAGATAGCTCAGATGCTATTCCTGAAACACCACCCCAAAAATCTTTAATTGATGTATATTGCTAAAATAAAGAATAAGTAAAAGAATATTTTTTATATCTATAATTTTTTAGCTCTTGAAGTAATGTCATAGGCTTTTTGTTAAACCATAAGCAATAATAATAATTTATCTATTTTCCAAAATGAGTATAAGTAAGATTTTTAATTTTAGGATTAAATTTTTCTTCACGATATAGTGGGTGTAGCAAAAAGCTTAAAAGTAGAAGTGGCTGTTTCTATGCAGACTATCTTGTTTCAAGTCAAGAAATCATATTTTCTGAAAATTCAATATTAGGTAAGTTTTTTACTAGATTCATAAAATATGCAAAACAATAAACAACTTGATAAAGATATGCTTTATCACGTTGTAAAAGGTTAAGTGAACCACAAAAAGATAAAATAATATCTTGTAAAATATAAAGATTTTGCCAAAAGTCTTCATAGTTTTAATCTCTTGTTTTAAAAAAAGCCTGCCATTCAAGACTAATATTTCATTTTTTGTAACAAGTATCTAATAAAAATATTATTATTATTTTTTTTTTTATAATATTTGGGGTGTAGCTCCTGCCCCAGACTTTTATTAATACTTAAGTAAATTGACATATGA